GAAAAAACGAAAGCCTGTAATTGTTTTATATGATGGTAGGATTGCTGGTGTCTTTTGTCTCTCATAAATATGCAAGATTACAGGTACGTCTTGCTACTTCTACTTACACTTAGGTCACACTACACATACATGTACACGTTTATTTATACACACTCATCTGAGTTTTCTTTGATTTAATCTAATAGTTCTTGGTCTATTACTTTTCCTTTTATATCCATGGGGAAGTGGAATAAGAATCTTTCCTCTGTAAGCCATGCGTGTTGTAAAAGTCAACTAAAATGCCGGGAACAATGGGCTAGTAACCCCTTTTCCTGTAAAGATTACTAAAAAGAATAAGAAGAAAATTGTCAAAGTGGGAAGTCTGAATGTGCGTGGATGTTGTGCAAATGATAAGAAAGAGATGATTGTGGATGTTATGAATGAGAAGAAACTGGATGTCCTGGCTTTAAGTGAAACAAAGCTGAAGGGGGTGGGAGTTTCAATGGAGAGGAATAAATGGGATTAGGCTAGGGGTTTCAAATAGTTAGAGCTAAAGGAGGAGTAGCAATAATGTTGAAGGATAAGCTATGGCAGGAAAAGAGGGACTACAAATGTATAAATTCAAGGATTATGTGGAGTAAAATAAAGATTGGATGTGGAAAGTGGGTTATAGTAAGCGTGTATGCACCTGGAGAAGAGAGAAGTGTAGAGGAGAAGAGAGAGAGATTCTGGGAAATGTTGAGTGAATGCGTGGGGAGTTTTGAATCAAGCGTGAGAGTAATGGTGGTTGGGGTTTCAGTGCTAAAGTGGGTAAAAATGTTATGGAGGGAGTAGTAGGTAAATTTGGGGTGCCAGGGGTAAATGTAAATGGGGAGCCTTTGAGCTATGTGTAGAAAGAAATTTGGTAATAAGTAATACATATTTTATGAAAAAGAGGATAAATAAAAATACAAGGTATGATGTAGCACGTAATGAAAGTAGTTTGTTAGATTATGTATTGGTGGATAAAAGGTTGATGGGTACGCTCCAGGATGTACATGTTTATAGAGGGGCAACTGATATATCGGATCATTATTTAGTTGTAGCTACAGTTAGAGTAAGAGGTAGATGGGAAAAAAGGTGGCAACAAGAGTAAGAGGGAGGTGAAAGTGTATAAACTAAGGGGAGGAAGTTCGGGCGAGATATAAGCGACTATTGGCAGAAAGGTGGGCTAGTGCAAAGATAAGTAGTGGGGGGGTTGAAGAGGTTGGAATAGTTTTAAAATGCAGTATTAGAATGTGGGGCAGAAGTTTGTGGTTATAGGAGGGTGGGGCAGGAGGGAAAAGGAGTGATTGGTGGAATGATGAAGTAAAGGGTGTGATAAAAGAGAAAAAAGGTAGCTTACGAGAGGTTTTTACAAAGCAGAAGTGTTATAAGAAGAGCAGAGTATATGGAGAGTAAAAGAAAGGTGAAGAGAGTGGTGAGAGTGCAAAAGGAGAGCAGATGAAAGAGTGGGAGAGGCACTGTCAAGAAATTTTAATGAAAATAAGTAAAAATTTTGGAGCGAGTTAAACAAGTTAAGCCTAGGGAAAGTATGGATTTGTCTGTTAAAAACAGAGTAGGGGAGTTAGTAGATGGGGAGAGGGAGGTATTAGGTAGATGGCGAGAATATTTTGAGGAACTTTTAAATGTTGAGGAAGAAAGGGAGGCGGTAATTTCATGCACTGGCCAGGGAGGTATACCATCTTTTAGGAGTGAAGAAGAGCAGAATGTAAGTCTGGTGGAGGTACGTGAGGCATTACGTAGAATGAAAGGGGGTAAAGCAGCTGGAACTGATGGGATCATGACAGAAATGTTAAAAGCAGGGGGGGGGGGAATATAGTGTTGGAGTGGTTGGTACTTTTGTTTAATAAATGTATGAAAGAGGGGAAGGTACCTAGGGATTGGTGGAGAGCATGTATAGTCCCTTTATATAAAGGGAAAGGGGACAAAAGAGATTGTAAAAATTATAGAGGAATAAGTTTACTGAGTATACCAGGAAAAGTATACGGTAGTTATAATTGAAAGAATTAGAGGCAAGACAGAATGTAGAATTGCGGATGAGCAAGGAGGCTTCAGAGTGGGTAAGGGATGTGTAGAACAAGTGTTTACATTGAAGCATATATGTGAACAGTATTTAGATAAAGGTAGGGAAGTTTTTATTGCATTTATGGATTTAGAAAAGGCATATGATAGTGGATAGAGGAGCAATGTGGCAGACATTGCAAGTATATGGAATAGGTGGTAAGTTACTAAATGCTGTTAAGAGCTTTTATGAGGATAGTGAGGCTCAGGTTAGGGTGTGGAGAAGAGAGGGAGAATACTTCCCGGTAAAAGTAGGTCTTAGACAGGGATGTGTAATGTCACCATGATTATATAATGTGTTTATAGATGGGGTTGTAAAAGAAGTAAATGCTAGGGTGTTCGGGAGAGGGGTGGGATTAAATTATGGGGAATCAAATTCAAAATGGGAATTGAGTTACTTTTTGCTGATGATACTGTGCTTATGGGAGATTCTAAAGAAAAATTGCAAAGGTTAGTTGATGAGTTTGAGAATGTGTGTAAAGGTAGAAAGTTGAAAGTGAACATAGAAAAGAGTAAGGTGATGAGGGTATCAAATGATTTAGATAAAGAAAAATTGGATATCAAATTGGGGAGGAGGAGTATGGAAGAAGTGAATGTTTTCAGATACTTGGGAGTTGACGTGTCAGCGGATGGATTATGAAGGATGAGGTTTATCATAGAATTGATGAGGTGGAAAAAAAGGTGAGTGGTGCGTTGAGGTATATGTGGAGTCAAAAAACGTTATCTATGGAGGCAAAGAAGGGAATGTATGAAAGTATAGTAGTACCAACACTCTTATATGGATGTGAAGCTTGGGTGGTAAATGCAGCAGCGAGGAGACTGTTGGAGCAGTGGAGATGTCCTGTCTAAGGGCAATGTGTGGTGTAAATATTATGCAGAAATTTCGGAGTGTGGAAATTAGGAGAAGGTGTGGAGTTAATAAAAGCATTAGTCAGAGGGCAGAAGATGGGTTGTTTGAGGTGGTTTGGTCATTTAGAGAGAATGGATCAAAGTAGAATGACATGGAAAGCATATAAATCTATAGGGGAAGGAAAGAGGGGTAGGGTCGTCCTCAAAAGGGTTGGAAAGAGGGGTAAAGGAGGTTTGTGGGCGAGGGCATGGACTTCCAGCAAGCGTGCATGAGCGTGTTAGATAGGAGTGAATGGAGACGAATGATACTTGGGACCTGACGATCTGTTGGAGTGTGAGCAGGGTAATATTTAGTGAAGGGATTCAGGGAAACCGGTTATTTTCATATAGTCGGACTTGAGTCCTGGAAATGGGAAGTACAATGCCTGCACTTTAAAGAAGGGGTTTGGGATATTGGCAGTTTGGAGGGGGATATGTTGTGTATCTTTATATGTATATGCTTCTAAACTGTTGTATTCTGAGCACCTCTGCAAAAGCAGTGATAATGTGTGAGTGTGGTGAAAGTGTTGAATGATGATGAAAGTATTTACTTTTTGGGGATTTTTTCTTTTTTGGGTCACCCTGCCTCGGTGGGAGACGACCGACTTGTTGAAAAAAAAAAAAAAAATGTATAAAGATGCACAACATATCCCTTCAAACTGCTAATATCCCGAACCCCTCCTTTAGAGGGTCTCATGGTGAAAACATGGCTAACAAACATTCCTGCTGGTCACCCAAAGTTGAGGCATCTGAGGGATTTATGTTAGCAGTGTGTTAGTTAGCTACACTTGTGGAGATCTGGTGGCCTGGGTTCAAACACTGACTGGGGTTGATATTTCTGTGTATATTTTAGCTTTTTTCCATAGAGTACATTGAATATTGGTATGTGTTGGCTAGTCCACCAGTGCAGAGAGCACAGGTTGCCAAGAATTTTAAAATGTGAATAAAAAAAAGTTTGATAATGTGCCATGAATCTTACAAACATGGACCCCATATGCTTGTATATACTTTCCTGTATATTTCTTAATAGTTCATATTCCTGCAGTTTTTTCTGTCCAGTTTAGGAGGCCTGGTCTGAGACCACCCAAAGGATTGAAAGTCCAAAAAAAAACCACTGGCAAATATAATTCAAACTGGATTTCAGTGAGATGATAGTTGCCGAAAAACACTAATGCATACTTTCTTATAAAGAATTAATGTTCGTATTTCAGAATTCAGATATGTTTTGGAAGCCAAGTGTTGCTGTGGTGAGTGATGTTGCCACCTTCATGAGAGACCTGGCTGCTGCTCTCACAGGCTACCAGTGTGATGAAGAGTGGATTACTTCCCTTAGAGAGAGAGATGAAGCCAAGGAAGCCATCAATATTAAGGTATTGCTTGAGTTTTCTCTTAATCTGCCCAAAAAAAAATAATCATGTGGTTTCACTACAGTGAATCATATTAATATGCAGTACAATGTAGTAAAGAAAAAATGCTTGTGATCTAGTTTAATTTTTTTTATAAATTGAGCAAAAGTTAAAATATTCCCTAAAGGAAGATGCCTTGATGCTGTTGAAGGATTCTTTATAGATATTGCTCTAAGAAATTAAAGTTTTCTGTTTGTCAAAACTGATTATCCCTTCTCTTTTCCCTCCTGCCTTCATCCATTTCATTCCCCATGCACTGTGGCCCTTATAATCAAATTTTTTTTCAGCACGATGTATTGTTTGTACAGAGACAAGTGACAGATGTGCATGAAGAAACTCCCTGGTATGCAGAGCATTTTGGGAAAACTCAGGCTTAAGCCTATCTTAAGACCAAAAGGGCAATAAGTAATTGATTGCTTATGGATTTAGTGCTTCCCCATGAATATTGCTATAATAGATCTGACTGGTTTTTATCCAAATAAACATTTCCACCCTTCTCTAACCACACACACTTCTCCACACGAGTAGCTTCTCTCAAATACAGCTTTGTTTAAAATATGGTTTTCCTGTTTAGTATATTGGGTTTCATGTTCATAATGTCCTTTAGCTCTAATCTTTTTGAAATTGCTCAATTTGTTTTTACAGTACTTGAAAAATCTAAGCTGTTTTTTACTGGCTCGCGTTATAATCTGGTTTATAACTTTTCAACAAACCAGCCGTATCCCACCGAGGCAGGGTGGGCACCCCCCCCCCCCCCCCCAAAAAAAAAAAAAACGAAAGTTTCTCTTTTTAAATTTAGTAATTTATATGGGAGAAAGGGTTTGGTTTATAACTATCTTGTGCTATTATCTTTGAGCACTGATTTGTAAGACTGGCATGGCCCTATTACTCTGTAAAGGAATCATTGTACCATGTAGCAGTGTTTATAAATTCCTTTATTTTTTACCCTGTACTCTTTTAAAAGGTCTTGCCTAATGTTCTTAGGAGAATTTCCTTTTTCTTATTTCTTTTGATTAACTTGTGACTGTTAATTTTTCTCTTAATTTCTTGTGTTTTCTCGTTCCGCATCTTGCTATATGGTCTCTAATATTGAAATTATCTAAGCACTTTGTCAACTTGGTAGTATGATTTTTTTTCTTTTTCTCTGATCTTTTTTTGATTTCTTTATCAGCATGGCCAAAAAACAATTTTCTATCTACAGTTTCCTGTGAATGGCTTGGTTATTTGCTATCTCTTTCATTTAAAGATTGATGTTAATCATTGCTGTAATTTCCTTAGTTAACCCCTTTAGCTGACTGTGCCTGTAGTACTACACCTTGGATTCACTTGCCATGCTGTAGTACTATGTGATGAGCTCAACTCGCTCATATAAACTGTGAGCGGTAAATTTGAGCCTTTCTTTATTAGCCCTAGATTATTCAACAGGTTGCTAGGGTCTGTTAAGATTCTAGAATCTGTTCATGCTTCAACCCTTTCGGTGTGGGTCCTGTTCTACGGCTTTGAAGCCAATGTTGGACCCATAGTACTACGCCATGAGCTCGGCTCGCTCAGATAAGCTGTGAGTGGTAAATTTAGACCTACATATGAATGAATGCATCTATGCAGTAAGTGTGCACAGTATAAAAAAATCCTGCTGCAAGCAGTGCATTATGGGGGGGGGGGGGAAGCTGCAACTTTGTAGTGTATTTTTGTATGGTTTTATTGTTGTATTCTCAGTTTCTTGGTCTTGTTTGATAGAATGGAAGATAAATTACAAAGTAGAGATGATTTTGATTGCTTTCAGGACTGAAAGTAGCTTGAAATTGTGCTCAAAGTAGTGGAATGTTAGATTTTTGCTGATATTCAAGAGTACACAAATGACATCAGTCTAACATGCATCCGTCTGGCCAATCTGATATGCATTTACAAATTCATTGACATTATTTATACAATTATTAGAATACTGCAATCGTCTGCATAATGGTAAATATCTATTTTTTGTGAATAAAAATTCAAAATGGAAAGCCAGCATAACATAGAGGCCTGAGGATATGACTAATGAACAGAGAGTTATTTTAGTGCCAAGAATGTCTGCATTGTTTATTTTGGACCCTGTTTTGAAATTGACATTTCTTGAATTTTGTGTGAAATTGGCCAAATTACCAATTTCTGATCACTTTATTGGGTAGTTTAAATAGTTGAATAGGCAATTTCTTTTACTAAGTCAGTAGAATGGAAGACATGTACTAGCAAAATAGCTAAGAATTTGGTTGACTGGAACAATGTAATTGGCCTAAAATAGGACTCGAAGTGGGCAAATTTGCCAATGTGTAAATATAGCTGACACTGCAAAATTCGCGAAAGAGTAATTTTCTCAATTTTCGATAAAATTTTGTACTTTCGTTTGATTACCTCCAGAAAAAAAATTCTCTACCATTTCATAAGATAAAAATTTTTTTTGCTTTTGAAAATTTTCCGACCCTGAGAGCAAGTTTGAGAGCATGGGTCCCGACCCTGAAAAGGTTAGTTTCGGCTGAAGGCATACATCTTTTCTAGAGCTTACAATCCTGATCACACTCAATTTTTAATGTAAACTTTAGTGTTTTTTTTTTTTTTTTTTTTTTTTTATTCGCCGGTATTCTCCCGGCCCGGGTCTTTTCCAAGTAGTGGTGACCCGGCCTTGGCTCCCTATCTGGGGAGTGTCTCAAGACTTAAGTCTCCCATGGGAGGAGGTACAAGTACCCCCTCATCTTTGGGACCAACTGTCCCCAGGCCTAGCCACATTCCCCGCCCTCACGGAGCTCGTAGGGAGAAGCTAGGCCTCTGGTCTGCCATCTGCCCCGCCCCAAAGGGGCTCGTGGGGATGGCAGTTTTTGAGCTGCAGGTGGTAGCAAGCTCAGGCCTTCTTTTGTAAACTTTAGTATTTCTTCATTGGTTTTTGTTATTACTTGTATGGCACTATTGAATTTCCTGAAAGAATGGGTGCTCAAGACTAACAAAATTCCAAATTATTGATATTAATATATTAAGAGATCCCCCCTTTGAGGATGCCTAAGAGGTTGCCTAAATTTGTTTTTCTTCCAATTTTTTGCATTTATTTTGCTTGGCTCTAACACTTCCTCATTGCCTTCAAATTTTTAATGGTTGTGTATGGTAACAAGGACCAGATTGTTTTAAGTTATGTTCATGTGCTCTGTTACCAAAGTTGTTGAACCCATTCTCAGCATTCTGGAATGGCTTTGATAACTTTGGAAACCCTTGGTGTATTTTCAAGCATTCAGAAAAGATGCATCCTAATTCATTGACAGCAGAGAGTGAAATTAAAGTGTGTAGGGGATGATTTGATTATTTTACGTACAGTATACAGTAATGTGACATTTTTACTCCTGTTAAATCACATTAAATAAATTTATTAATTCTGAATGGCTTCTAGCCCTTGTGGCTCAGTGTTTTTTTTATTATAATAATAATAATGAATGGCTTCTTTATTTAATGGCTGATGCATCATAGGGCCAGGATAATATGTATTAGATTTTGTTTGTGTGCAGTCAGATTTGTTGATGTAGTACAATAAGTAGTTTAGAAAACTTGGAATGATTGGAATCTGTCATCATTGGAGAGTGACTTGGCTGATTTTATTCAAATTTTCACCACTGGCATGGTTTCTTGAATGCAAGGTTTGTTTTGGGGTGGGATATGGCCCCATTTGCCAATTTTATTGAAAAAGTGATAATTTTTTATTTAGTAACTAAAGAATGCTGATTCTGGTTAACTTCAAAATATTATTGATAATGCCTTCTATATGAAGGATGATACCCCATTTTGAAATTTTAACAAAAATTTTTAACAAATTTGGACTGGGACTCAGATCAGTTACTGAAGACCTTTTCTGGTCAATTTCAAATTTTTACCATTGGTCTGCTTTGTTTTAATAAAAGCTTGGTTTTAAAAAAAAAAAAAAAAAAAAAAAAAAAGCTTGTCACTTTGAGCTACATAAATTTCTATTTGCTGATTTTATTAAGCAAATTATTTCCCATGTAATAACTAGAGTATCTTTTTGATTGGTTTCCAACTCTAAATGCTGGTGCATCTTAATTGGAAGTAATTTGGATTATTTTTGGGCTTTTTTTTTTTTTTTTTTTTTTTTTTTTTTTTTTTTTTTGCACTTATCAGAATAAATTTTCTTACAAAAAAAAAGTATGTTCTTGTAGGATTGTAAGAGATTTTGAAATAAAATAAAAGAAAATTAAAAAAAAAAAAACAAAAGATGAATATTTATGATTTTTCAAATTAAACAAGGGAGACTATTAAGAACAGTCTTTACTTTCTCAAATTTTCATTTATTACTTGAGAGCATCTTATGTCTTCAAATTTTCATTGCTGGTGTAATGTTTCTTGGGCAAAAGTCACAGAACCTTTTGCATGCATGGGTGCCCTATGCACTGTTATGTAGGCCAATCTTTGATTTTGTGTGATAGCTGGAGAAAGGCTTGTCTAACAGCTTCAAAATTTCAACTCTAGTATATCCTACTTAGAAAAAGGTTGGTATATTTAATGGAGTCTGTAAATGCCATTTTGCCAATTTTAATCTTGAAATTGTTTATCATTTTACATTATTGCATTATTTGGCCGTGATGCTGGTGAGGGGCGCTTGATAAAATGAACAGAATTGTTTCTTTTGCTTGAATCGAATTTGAATGCCTCTCGGTCCACAAGCTCTATATGACCCTTAGGGATTTAGCATATTCCCGATTAAAAGTAATTGTGAATGGCTTCAGTCTTTATTGGCTGATGCATTATATGACACGGATGGAACGTTTCATAGGATTAGGCTGTGTGGGTGCAAATTTTGTTGGAATCTGTGCAGTATCTAAATGCATTTTCTGGTCAACTTTTAGTGCTGTGTTTTTCTCAAAGGAAATAACCTCTTGATGTTAATTTGTGCAATTTTTAATGCATCAGTTTTATTAGTCAAGTTGGATTCT